GGGGGGTGTGAAGAAGATATGTTGTTGTATGTTATGCTTTCAAAGTGTTAATTGTCATTAGCTAACACTATCTTGTTGTTTCTACAGAAATATCCTGATCTAGCACAGGCAGATGTAAATTTTGTTATACTTGTCATACCTGTTTCAATAAACTTGCTAAAGAATCCTCTCTGGGGAAGAGACTTTGGGGAATGGTTCCATGTGTTTGTGGAAATGTCCTTGCAGGGGTGTCCAAAAAGTGGAAGGCTCTGGACAGAAAACGTGCGCCCTGGCTTAGAATGTAACAGGGTAAACTTCCTCTGGACAAAACGGCAGCAGAGCTGACGTGGAGCTTCACACTGCTCCCTGGTCTTCAGGCTCAGAGCCAAAGCTTCACCCCAGAAGGCTGCCCTCTCACCCCCTGCCTAACAGGATTTTCCAGGAGGAAGCAGAGCTCCAGCCAATGAAGAGTAAGAGCTGACTCTGGCAGGGAGCTGATTGTGGTTTGGGGAAGCATCTCCTCTGGAAAAGGAAGTAAAGAAACAGGAGCAAGAAACAATAAGGTTCCAGCAGCCCACTTTCATTCAATTGGCAAAACTACTGCTCTAGGGGAAAACTGCATTTTCTCTTCTAAAAAGAAGGGGTGCCTCCAGGAGAGAACCCATGGTCCGGAACCATAGTAAGAGGAGGTGCTGGTTCACAGATGTGCCCCCTGCTGCCCCCAGTCTGTCAAGTCCACCCACCTTCCCTTCCTCCGTAGCTTCCCACTGACCCTGCCTGACCTTCCCCTCCAGCCTACTCATTCTTGTTTCCATTCATATTCATTTTTCTGGACTTCACATACTGCACAGTTCCTTCTGCTTTCAGCCCACACAGAAACAGTCACTAGGATGATGGTGACTTAACCTGAAAAGCTTCACAACTGATCACTGTCTTCTTTCTATGACCTTACTATGTGTGTAAATTATTTACTTTTCACCCTTGTCAAGTGGGCCTTAGGAAGCATAACTATGAACAAAGCTAATGGAGGTGATGGAATTCCAGCTGAGCTATTTCAAATCCTAAAAGATGACGCTGATAACAGGCTGCACTCAATATGTAAGCAAGTTTGGAAAACTCCACAGTGGCCACAGGACTGGAAAAAGTCAATTTTCATTCCAATCCCAACAAAAGGTAATGCCAATGAATGTTCAAACTACTGTACAATTGCGCTCATTTCACATGCTAGCAAAGTAATGCTCAAAATCCTTCAAGCTAGCTTCAGCAGTACATGAACTGAGAACTTCCAGATGTATGAACTGGATTTAGAAAAGGCAGAGGAATCAGATCAAATTACCAACATTCGCTGGATCATAGAAAAAGCAAGGGAATTCCAGTAAAACATCTGTTTCATTGACTATGTTAAAGCCTTTGACTGTGTCGACTACAACAAACTAGAAAATTCTTAAAGAGATGGGAATAACAGTCCACCTTACCTGTCTCCTCAGAAACCTGTATGCAGGTCCAAAACAACAGTTAGAACTGGACATGGAACAATGGACTGGTTCAAAATTGGGAGAGGATTATTTCAAGGCTGTATATTGTCACCCTGCTTAGTTAACTTATATACAGAGTACATCATGCAAAATGCCAGGCTGGATGAATCACAAGCTGGAATCAAGATTGCCAGGAGAAATACCAGCTACCTCAGATATGCAGATGATACAGCCTTTATGGCAGAAAGTGAAGAGAAACTAAAGAGCCTCTTGATGAGAGTGAAAGAGAAGAGTGAAAAAGCTAGCTTAAAACTCAGCATCTAAAAGACAAAGATCACGGCATCCGGTCCCATCACTTCACGGCAAATAGATGGGGAAAAAGTTGAGACAGTGGTGGATTTTATTTTCTTGGGCTCCAAAGTCACTGTATAAGGTGACTGCAGCCATGAAATTAAAAGACGCTTGCTCCTTGGAAGGAAAGCTATGACAAACCTAGACAAAATATTAAAAAGCAGAGACATTACTTTGCCAACAAAGGTCCACATAGTTAAAGCTATGGTTTTTCCAGTAGTCATATATGGATGTGAGAGTTGGACCAAAAAGAAGGCTGAGTGCTGAAGAATTGATGGTTTCAAATTGTGGTGCTGGAGAAGACTCTTGAGGGTCCCTGGGACAGTAAGATCAAATCAGTCAGTCCTAAAGGAAATCAACCTTGAATACTCACTGGAAGGACTGATGCTGAAGTTGAAACTCCAATACCTTTACCACCTGATGGGGAAGAGCTGACTCACTGTAAAACACCCTGATGCTGGGAAAGGTTGAGGGCAGGAGAAGGGGACAACAGAGGATGAGATGGTTGGATGGCATCACCGACTCTAGGGGCATGAGTTTGAGCAAACTCCCAGAGATACTGAAGGACAGGGAAGCCTGGAATGCTGCAGTTCATGGGGTCACAGAGAGTCAGACACAACTTAGCGACTAAATAACAATAATGTCTATAGGATTTCATCGTGTTTTAACTGAGACAGTCACGAGCCATTTCATTTCCTCCCAGATTCAGGCAATTCCACTTCGGAAACAAACTTCTACTGATAAACAATCACTGAAAAAGGGCCTTGCTCAGTAGGTAAAGCTACCCATGTCCAGCCCCACACAGGGGCACTGCTAAATCTCTTAATATGTTCTTGCCAAGTATAAGGTCGCTGTATCAGCTGGACCCGGAAAGACACTAGATGAGGACATATGAATAGAAGAAGAAAGCCCGAGGCCTTGAGTTGAATAACCATCCATCCATGCCATGATTTGCATTTATATTGCTTTTTCTAATTCCTCTAGTTATTAATTAGTCCCATGCTCAAACATTATGAATCCCATTTCCAACTGGAAAAACACCAGGAATGTGCCTTCTCCCAAGAAAGCAAATGCTGACAAGATTCACACCTCATCAGACTGAAGTGTATTCTGAGGATAGCAGGGCTGTGCTTCCTTCTGAGGAGCTGGGATTATTTCAGGAAGCCATCTGGGGCAAAAGCAGAGAGAAACTGGAGAGGAAAGGGCCCAGTGGGAGCACACGGAAACCATCCCTGTGACTGCACATCCTATAAAGGCCTGCTTTTAACCCTGCTCCCCTTCCTTCACACCGAGACCCACTTGGGGTGTTCCACTTTCCCCAGCATTCCCTCCCATCACCACGCCTATACCCTGAAGCACATCAGAACCTCCATCCAGACCACTGCTCTCTCCTCAGCACCCCAGAACTGTCTCTGTTTCCACAGGCCAGTGAATGGCTCCGGATTACTGGATCGAAAGCCCTCTGCATCCTGTCTGCTCTATAACACAACAAGGCTGACACAGAGTAAGGTCCAGGTGGACCCCAGAGTAATTCTTGGCCCTCCCATTTGCCTGCTCTCTTACTTCAAGCCAGCCCCTTGACCTCTTTGCCGCTCAATTTCCCCATCTGTAAAATACCTCTCAGTGCTGTGGTGAGAAATAAGAGGGCGTGGGTAAATCGCAACACAGTCCCTGGTCTGCTGTGAGTGCTCAGGAAATAGTCCTCATCCCCTTTCCTAGCTGAAAACTTACCCACATCTCCAGACCCACCAGTGGTCAATGCCATATGAAGCGTTTCCTGAAACTCAGACTCCAGTCCCAGTCTCCTGTATTTTCCTCTCGAGGTTTATATTTAGATTACTTATCCATATACTTCTCCAAATTCCCCTAGTAGAACATAAACCACTGGTTTATATCGCTGCACCTCAGCCTAGCTGGTCACCTTTCAGTACATCAAATAGACCAACCTCTTTGCTGTCTCAGCCCTTTACATGTGCTGTTCTCTTTGCCTAAAATGCTCTCTTGTACTCAACCTTCAGGTCTCCTTTTACCACCAGTTTAAAGAGGCTCCCACATTATTTTCATGTCAGCACTTAACACAACTGCAGTTCTACCATCAGGAAGCTGTAACCTCAGCATCTTGTACAACATCTAGCAGAAAGAGACGTTTTCAACTGACAAGCAGGGTCAGTCAATGCCCCACAGGTTGTCCCTATTTAGTTTTTCTGCTCACCAAGATCCACCAGGTCAAATTTATGAGTCTGGACCCACTAAGGACTGTGTCTTGTCCTCAAAAGGAGTCACTGAAACTGAGGTCAAGGTACCATGGAAACGGAAGATGCTTGGTGATGGTGTTCAGGAGACACTGCCCCAAAATATGGCACCTTGCTGTATTGATCTTAAGCCAGAGAAATTTTAGACAATGGCAGAAGCAGCAAAATCACTCCTGCTTCAACCATTTTTCGCTCCAAATCTCCCAGGTGAAAGGGCCCCTCCCAGGAAGGAGAGGGACATTCTTATCACCAGAGGCAGGGGGTTTAGGGCCAAGAAGGCTGTGAGGAAAGCTCGATCTGGTTTCACTATTTACTACCCACAGTCCATACCTCTCTTGCCTTATCAGTTCTTCACAAATTCATTGTTTCTTTCTCTAACAGGATAAAGCTTTCGTTCTGGCCACTTCTTTGGGTCTCCACTCTCCAGTGAAAGGTCCCCTCCCTGTACGTGTAGAAGTGAAAGTCGATCAGTCGTGACCGACTCTTGGCGACCTCCATACAGTCCATGGAATTCTCCATGCCAGAATACTGGAGTGGGTAGCCTTTTCCTTCTCCAGGAGATCTTCCCAACCCAGGTCTCCCGCATTGCAGGTGGATTCTTTACCAGCTAAGCCACAAGGTAAGCATGTATGCGGAGAAACTCAGTAAAATATGTACACTTTGCTTTTCTCCTGCAGCTCTGTGTTTGTCAGTGTAACTTTCAGATCCCGTCAGAAGCTCTGGAGGGGTAAGACTTTCCTTCCCCCGCGGCTACGGAAGAAGGCCAACTCTGATGGCTGGCTGCCGCTCTTCCAGCGCAGCTAATGCCCAGCTAGCCTCCGGCCACCACACGGCGGTGTCCAAGAGCCTCAGCAAACGCCGCCACGACGACGACGCTGGCACGGCACCTGCGCGCGGCGCTCCGGAAGTGACGCTACAGGAAGGGGCTGCTCCGGGCAGCGCCATGGCCCGAAAGGCGGCTGGGAAACCGCCTGAGGAAATCTTGTTGGACTGGAAACGGTAATGAGGCAGGGGACGCGCAAAGTCCAGGGATTTGGAGCGACGTGGTTCCCCGCGGATCTCCGACCTCATAACCCCTGACTTAGGGCCGCAGGGGCCTGGGCCTGCTTTTGGCTTGCGGGCTTAAGGGCTGTAGCTTCCGGGACCGCGTCTGGGTCCCAGGAGAGGGAGGGATTTCGAGACCCGGAGGGTCTCTGGTAGAGCTCCGACTCCCGGGCCTGGACTCCGCCTGAGGGCGGCCGCGGCTGCACCGCGGGGTGCGGGGCTTCTGGGCCGGGCGGCCCGCTGGACCTCTTTCTACTCTCAGGGAGCAAGCCTCGTTGAAGGCCCGTGTTGTGGACCAGGACACGGAAGCTTGGCAACTGGACCCCGCCTTCTCAGGCCTGCAGAGGGTCGGGGGCGTGGACGTGTCTTTTGTGAAGGACGACAGTGGCAGCGCCTGCGCCTCCCTGGTGGTGCTCAACTACCCAGAGCTTGAGGTAACCCCTAGGGGACTTTGGCCAGGGGCCGCACCGCTGGACCCGGGTGCATTAGTGAGAGAGGCGGGGCTCTGGACAGGGCACAGTGCTAGGGTAGAGCCCCGCTTCTCCTCTTGTGGAAGTTCACTAATAAATTGGAAAGCTTTTTAATAAAAGAGGAGGGGAACAAAAACTGACTAGATCCTGTGACCTAAGTCCAAATTAACTCATGATCTCCAAGTTTGGCTGTCATCTTTTGCTCCCCATCTCAGGGACCCACAGCAACATGCCCCCAAGTTGCCCAAGACACTAGAAATCTGTCTTCCCATACCCCTCAGCTGGTCACACACTAACTACATTTTTTCCACCACCTAAAATCAGTGGAGTCTGTCCCCTTGTCTGTATCGCTGCTGCCCCTTCCCTGGCTGTACCACTGTCACCTCTCACATAGGTGACAGGCAGAATCTTCCCTGAGTCCTTTCTCCATGCTGCCAACAGAGCAGTTTTCCTAAAAAGCAAATGTGAGCAGTCACCACGTAGTCTACTTAAAACACTTAAGTGCCCATCCTGTGATCGCATAGTAAATAAAAGTAACACTCACTAACAAGGCATAAAGGCTCTTCATGATCTGACCCCTGTTTAATGTAACTCACAGTAGGCTCACCTCTGGCCACCACCTGCATTCATCACCCACTCCCCATTCAGGAGGACTTCAGCTTCCTCAAGCACTCCATGCTGTATCTACCTGCCTGACCTTTGCAGTGATGTTTCCTCTCCTGGAATATTTTTCATCTGTCTTAACTCCTCCTCATCTCTTAGGTCCTCCAGTAAGCCCCCCACCTCGTCCTACAAGACCAGGAGTTGCTCCCAGCATCCTCTCATTCCTGTTTATCACTGGGATAGAATTGGCCTGTGTGTCTCCCGCACCAGAATGTAAACTCCACAACAGCAGAAACTGTACTCTCTTGCACACCAGTTGTAGCCTTGGCACTTAGCTTGATGCCTGGCACATAGAAGATGCTCGAATAGATATGTGAATGAATGAACAGTGCACCCACCATTCCTTTGGAGTCAACAGCTCAGGAAGCCTTGGCTGAAGAAGAGCTTGACAAAGAAACTTCTGCTCTGCAGCTTCAGCGTTTCCCCCTCCATGCCCCTCTGCCTGTTCCCAAAGCTGCCATCTTCCTGCCTCAGCGTCTTTGCACTTTACTTGAAGAGCCTTTAGTCAAAATTCAGCAGAAATATATTGATACCTGACTCAGAGTTTGGTGAGAAATAATTGAGATCATGCGTGGAAAGCAATTAACATAACGGGCATGTGGTAAGCCCTCAAAAAGTAAATGCTAAGCTACTGTTAATTCTTAGGACAGCTTCTCACTTTTCAATTCACTTATTCCCATCGCTCTATACCTTTCTCTACCTGCAGAATTAATCACCTTCTTGTCTGTCCTAGGTCTCTTTGTTTTGCATGTGTTCTTACAGTACTTCTCACACTGTATTAAAGTTACTGATTTAAGAGATCCTCTCAGATCTTACAGCCTATTAGCAGAGCACTCTCCCTATTGCAGTAGTCAACTCCCCTTCATTGCAGTAATCATTTTGAATAGTCTCTCCTTCTTGTTTAGTTGCCAAGTCGTATCTGACTCTTTGCAACCACATGGACTGTAGCCTGCCAGGTTCCGCTGTCCATGGGATTGCCCAGACAAGAATACTGGAGTGGGTTGCCACTTCCTTCTCTAGGGGATGTTCCCGACCCATCTCATAGAAAAGAAGTTATTGGTTTATATTTTTTTTCCCACCATCTGTAGGTTCTCAAGGGTAGGGTTATACTGTATTTTTTTTAGAACCCCAGCACTTGAATGTAGTCAGCACTTGTCATCCTATGCTGTGGATGCTTAGTCTAAGGAATGCTCTTAAAAGAGTCTGGTCCAGTGACTCCCAGATGCTCATCTATGATTCTGTGCAATCAGAGTCACCTGGAAGTGTGTTTAGAAATAAGATTTCATAGGCAAATCCATAGAGACAGAAAGTAGTTTTGTGGTTGCCAAGGGCTAGCGATTGAGATGGAGGGTAACTGTTAATGAGTATAAGAATTATCTAGGAGATATAAAAATGTTCTAACGTTAGATTATGGCAATGGTTGAAAGACTGTAAATACCAGAAATGGTTGAATTATACTCTTCAAGTAATTTTATGGTAGCAAATTATATCTCAATAAAGTTGTTAAAAAAAAGATTCCTGGGCCCCTCTCCATTTGCTGATGTTTGCTTTTTTTCGACAGTCCTTCCTGTGCTTGCATAGCAAACCCAGGCTGTGAGTCTCTGATCTGCCATTCACACAGCCATAAAACTCTTTTCGTCGTGCCTGACATCGTGGCCTCACAACAGAGCCCATTCCGTAATTGGAAGAGCATGTTCTTTTCCACATAGAGCTGAAGTTTACTTGTTTGTGACTTCTGCTTTCTGGTACAGAGTACAGGACAAACTTTTCCTGCCCTTCTGTGAAAACCCTGCTACTTGAAGACCGTTCTGTGTTCTCCTGAGTCTCACTGGGGTGATTCCCAGCTCCTTCTCTTGCTGCTGGCCCTCTGGCCCACCTGCAGTGAGCAGGGTTCGTTTTTATATCCAGCACCCAGAACTGATTTGAGTACCTCAAGTGCAGTTCCGCCGTTTGGTTCATCCATTGGTGAGCCTAATGCCAGCTTAGGTTGAAACTTGCAGATCTCCTCAGAGATTACTGACCATCCAGATCATGCCCACATGCTAACTACACAATTGATTTTTCCCTGTCCCAGATTTGTAACTTGAGAATGTACACACATACATACTGAAAAGTTGAAATAACACATTGAACACCCGTATTCCCTCTACTTAAGATTCAGCTGGTTTTGCGGTCTTCTCTGTGTGTGCACACTGAGATTCAGGAGTGTCTCCCAGAACCTGTGAGAGCTTAGCAGACTTGTCCTAGAGTGACATTTTTCTGCATACCGGTGGTGTCGTCATCACACCTTAGAATGCACATACATAATTCCATCACCCCTTCCGTAACATATTTCCCCAGGGGTCTTTAATCTCTAAAATGTGTTCTCTTATTTGTAAGACTTTGACATATTTTATATTAAATAATTACTGTTACCAGTAGATTATGATTGCTATGGGGATTTTGGGGGCGGGGGGCGGGCGCGGTCCAGTATGTTGCCTATTTACCTTTTTTCCACTGAGATACATCTTGAGTTGGCTCTTCCCCATCAGTTTCCTCAAGTTCCCAGTTGGGTCTTTCAATGTGTGGGGTCAGATCACTTTTTATTTTGGGAATGTTTCTTAGATTGTGGTTTTAAGTGTTAGTTCTATTTATTATTTCAGCTCCACAGTTTGGTTTCTCTTTTTCAGTCATACATATGCTGGGTTTTCTAACTTGCCAGGTTTTTTTATGGTTCTGTTTTTATTTCTGCCAGGTTGTGCTCTCTGTCATTTAATTTCCCTCTGATGTACGACTGGTTGGGGGCAGCATTTCATCAGCTCACAAGCATTGATCGTTGCCTTCTGAGTTCGTGTAGTTTTTGTGTACAGCCTTTCACTGTTGACTTTTAAGTTATATTTAAAGAGGAAACTCAAGGGCTGGGGGTTTGGGTGGCTCGTTGTGTTTCTTAAGTCTTGAACTATGAAGTGTAGTCATGTTAATAAATGGTGTTCTTTTCTGAAGCAAAGATGGCAATGTGTCTTCTGATTCTTTGATACTTTCGTTTCCAAAGGAGCTTACATTTCTGTCCTCACTGTCTTCTCCATGAGCCCCCAGGGCTCACCTGTTTCTCCCCAGAGCAGCATCTTCCTGGTAAGGCCAGGGCTGGCCCCCAGGCATCATTCCATCAGGCTCCCAACCAGTAGGCCCTTCCACACCCTCTTACCCTTGCCCCATCCCTACCTGCCTTCCCATTGCAGGGCCTGGAGCTGGCTCTGTGAGTCTGGGCTGTTTATTTCCACATGTAGGTGCACACTGATGGTTATACATCTCCTGGTTATGATGTGCACATGGAGCCAGGGGAGGTTTATCTCCTCTTCTGTGGATCTCTGGTTTCTGGAACTTGTTCAGAGAGATTCAGACATAAGCAGCCACCATCAGCCTATGGGAACTCAGGCCACACTTGAACTTCCCCTGTGTCCCTGTAAAGAGTCATTCTGTTGCATGGGGTTCAGCACTCCAGCCTTCTGGGGTCACTGGGAATTGAATTCTCCAGTCTGTCATCCACCTGGACCCTGCCCACTCTAAATCACTTGTAGTTTTATGAGTCTCCTATGAATCACTGATAAAAATATTGGAAGAACAAGCCATTCCTCAATACTATTAGAGTAATCCCTTCACTTGGACATGCCGTTATGACCCAGCTTAGAGGGAGTGGTGAAAGTATGGTTTTGAAAGCTGTCACCAAGAGATGGGGGTGGGGAGTGGCCAGTAACAGTGCAGGACATCCAAGGTTTCTGGAAAAGTGTGCTTAGCGGGAAACATTCTCTACTTCAAGCAGGTCTGGCTCTAATGAAAACTCAATGTTAAAGGACTTAGGGCTGCCATCCTGTGCTCTGAGCAGGTCCTTTACCATTCTAATGAAGTGGGAACAGGAGCCCCTCTTCCATGCTGTGGTGGGACTTTGAGTTTGAAGAACAGTCTGCCAGAGCATGTGAAAACTGGATGGTCCCCAGCAGGTCTGCCTCAGACCTCTGGCCCCCACTCCTCCCAGCATCAGCCAGGCCTTTTAGCACAACATCCCCGGGGGTAACCACCTTTCTCTCTGGGGTTATTTGCAGTTGCAGCCTCAGAAGTTTTCCTTTTGGACTCCAGTCTCTCAGGATCTAATTCTCTTCCAGACTGCCTCTCTGATCACGCCTGTCCTTTGTCTGAAATATTTGTACTCTCTTTTCATAAAGCAAGAGTTGCCCTTCTGGCTGTGTAGCCTCTATGAAGACCTGGCCTTTTCTTCCCTGAGGTTCCATCTCATAGGACACGCTGACATCCTTATTCACAGGTGCTTCTTGTGCTTGGTCTTCTGTGAGCTTCCAGATGGCCTGGCAGCAGGGTGGGCAGGAAGACAGCAGCTCTGACTTACAAAAGAGGCAACCTGAGGAGGGCCTGGTACAGACCAGGTGTGGCCAGTGCCTTTAAAATGGCAGCATTTGAATCCCCACCGCCCACCTGTAGGGTGGATCACGTGTCCCCAGATAGTGAGGAAGGAAAGGGGATTTGGGGGTGAGCCTGGAAGACAGGAAGAGATGAGGATTGACAGATGAGGGCTGAGGGCGGGCAGGGGGAGGTGACCAGGGCCAAGCATGCCTGATGACCGGGTGCCTGGTGGCAGGTGCTGTATGAGGACTGCCGAATGGTGACCCTGACGGCCCCCTACGTTTCGGGCTTCCTGGCCTTTCGAGAGGTGTCTTTCCTGGTGGACGCGGTACAGCGGCTTCAGGAGAGGGAACCCTGCCTCATGCCCCAGGCAAGTACCTCACTGAGCTGGAGGGAAGGCCCTCCACAGACCTTGCCCCATTGCAGGGAGAGGTTCCATGAACTTCCTAGAGAAGTGCTTTTGCCTCAAGAGGGATAAGATCTAAAGAACTAGGTCCCTCCTCTTGCTCTGGGATGCCCCAGCCTGATGGATGCGAGGTGCTTCAGCTGACTGTGACTTTCCCCTGTGGCTCTTTCAGGTCCTTTTCGTGGATGGAAATGGGGTGCTGCACCACCGAGGTAATCCTGCTCCCAAGACGGCCCAGGAGGATTGTAGGAGAGGGACCTGGAGGGGGCAGTCCGCTTGCACCAGGCCATGGGCCCTTCACCCCTAGCCTGGCCCTGCAGCTCCTTCTGGTTTTGCTTTCCTTGCCTATTAAAGATCCCCTGCTTCTCTTCACCCCTACCTCTTTTCCTGCTTGTCCCCACTACGTGTGCGGGCCCAGCTCAGGCAGCACCACCCAGTTTGGACATAGCGCTACCAAAAGTCATAGACCTTGAGCCCAGCTGGGGCTCCCCTGGTGGCTCAGATGGTAAAGAATCTGCCTGCACTGCAGGAGACCTGGGTTTGATCCCTGGGTTGGGAAGATCTCCTGGAGAAGGGAATGTCAACCCACTCCAGTATTCTTGCCTGGAGAATTCCATGGACTGAGGAGCCTGGCGGGCTGCAGTCCATAAAGTTGCAAAGAGTCAGAAACAACTGAGCTACTAACACTTTCACTTTTATCACTTTGAGCTCAGCTAGCCTGTCCCACTGGCAGACCCTCGCCTGAAACCAAGCAGGAACGGACACATGTGCCCCACCGACACAGGGGACCTTTGACCCAGGAAAAAACCACCAAGGGGAAGGGGCTGTCATACCCTCAGATACAAACCTGGAGGTCAAGCAGCAGAGGCAGTCGAGAAGGGTTGGCATGGTGTTTTCAGTCCCTGCCCTGGGAGCCTGTGGGCCCAGAGCCACCCTGGGTGCTAGTGCAGGACCAGCAGGCCGGCCCTGGGCCTTGACCGCAGCCACTGCTATTCTGGCCTCCTGGCAGGAACCCCAAAGTGCTGGGGCAGTTAGGACAGAAACCTAGAGGCCTGAAGGTAGCCACAAACATAGGGGAGGATGGAAGGTGCCAGAAAATGAAAGGAGAAGCAGGTGAAACGTGTGAGCATGTTAATTGTAATTAGGCTCCTAATCTAGTCAGATGGAGGGAGGCATCCACCCAGCCTGCCAGCTGAGAAGCTGGGGCAGAGGGCCAGATTCAAGGTCAAGGTGGGTCTCTGAGGCCTGTACCCCTAGTCCTTGCCCACCAACAGGCCTCCGTTGATGTGCGGAAGCTCAGTGAGGCTCTGGTGTGTCCCCCACCCCCACCCTGACTCCTGACTGCTGGGCTCACTGCCCCAGCCTCATCTTCCTTTGCCGCTGCAGGTTTTGGGGTGGCCTGCCACCTTGGTGTCCTCACAGACCTGCCTTGTATCGGGGTGGCCAAGAAACTCCTGCAGGTGGACGGGCTCGAGAACAACGCTCTGCACAAGGAGAAGGTAAGGGGGCCTGTGTGCCCCACAGGCAGGACAGACTGCCCCACTGTGGACCGGCTCCAATGGGACACTCTTCCCATCCTGGGTCGCTGGCCAGAATGAGGAAGACCAGTGCTGCTCGTGGGCGGTGGGTCATCCCTGGAGACCCGGAACTCCTCTCCCAGCCTCTGGGCCCACGTTTGCCTCTCCTGCTTTGTCTACCCTGTGGCGCCCACTGGGAGCAGAGCCTGTAGGGACTGGGGACTGGGCATTCGGGGCCTATGCAACGTTCCGTGCTTTTCCTCCCACATGGAACTGGGGCACCTACCTGCCTGGGGCATCCCCATCCTCTGGGACCCCTTCCAGAGGGCGTCAGTGACATGCATGGCTTACCCACCTGGACAGCCAATTGGGAACAGGGATCAGTTGTGTTTGTCTTATCTTTCCAGCTTCCCCGTGCCTGAGTGGAGCACGTGTTTGTTGAGTTGACAGGGGCCCCTGACCCACTCAGCGAGCCAGTCCCTACCACCCGAAAAAGTTTGTCAGGTTGAATCAGAAGTGCTCAAATTTTTGCAGGAGAGAAAGCAGCAGGAAATCAGCAGCCTCGAGTGGGTTGTGGCCCTGTGTGCGCACCATCCTGGCGCTTCCCCACCCCTGGCACTGGGGCCTGAGTGGGCCACCGCCCCTTCTCTGCTGCAGGGTTGAGAGGAGAGCGCCTTGTCAGGGTGGGATGATGCCGTAGGTGGTGCCTGGAAGCAGGATCCACTCACAGGACGGGCCCTTCCATCTCCTTGCCCAGCAGCTGCTCACAGTTTGAAAATGAGCAGGCTTGCCTTTGGCCCTTCACCAAGAAAGGTATTCTCCAAGTTTTTTTTCCCTCTGTTTTCCAGATACAGCTCCTAAAGGCTGGAGGAGACTCATTTCCTCTGATGGGAGGCTCTGGGACTGTCCTGGGCAGGGTGAGTGGCCAGGGGCCTGTGCCCCACTGAGGCGGACCCCTCAGCTGGGCTCTGGGTTAGCACCCGTGTTATGTGTGTACCCCAGACCTTGCCGCTCTGGGCTGGCCCTGCATCTTTACTTCCTCCCCTCCAAAACTGTGCTGAGGGGGCCTCTGGGCCCTCACTGGCCCTATCCTGTCCCCAAGACAGGCAGCAGGAAGGTACCCTGAAGGCACCGCCAGTCCCCCAAGCCCCTGCCCGCCAGCTGAGATGTGTCAGTCTTCCCGCCCACAGAGCTCGCCCAGTGCCCTGACCTCACCCTCTCTCTGCCACAGGCCCTGAGGAGCCACGACCACAGCACCAAGCCCCTCTATGTCTCTGTGGGCCACAAGATAAGCCTGGAGGCAGCTGTGCGCCTGACCCACAGCTGCTGCAAGTTTCGGGTCCCGGAGCCTGTGCGCCAGGTGAGTGAGCTGCCAGGTCGGTGGGCCAGCACACAGCCCCTACTCTTCCTGTGCCTTTGGGCTTATGAGCATGCCACAGGCACCTGTGGGAGAGTCTGTTTGGGTCACATCGGGCCCTGGAGGGGAGGAGAGGGGCCCGGAAGGTGCAGAGGTCCCAGGACATTCTGGAGCCCTCCTCGGCCTGGCCCTGTGCTCAGCCTCTCAGCCTCCTGCACCCTGGGTCATTGGGAGAATCAGCTGACGTCGGCTCAAATGCCAGCCCCTGAGGGCCCAAGCTGCCCAGCTGGCCAGGGAGGGAGCAGCTGTCCTCGATTGGGGGGCCCCTGCAGGGCCACTGGGCACAGCTGAGGAAGACTTGTGCTAGAAATGCCAGTCAAGGCACACCAGCCACGTAGTACCAACTTGGGGCCCAAAAGGATCAGAACTCTTATGGACAGGTTGGCCCAGCTGAGAAAAAGCTTGGTCTGCTATGGGGAGACAGAACCTCATGCAAGATGCCCTTGGGCCACCTTGGTGTCTTGGCCACAAGGAGGTACCCAGGGGGTATAGGTTCCTGGAAAGCCCGTGAGTCGAGGATTTGTGGAAGCTGCCCTCAGGGAGAGGCCTGCTGGAAGAGGGGGGAAGGGTAGTCCAGGCCCGAGGATCAGCATTTACAAAGGCCGTGGGGCAGGAAGGAGTTTGATGCCCAGAAACTCAAGGGACGTATGTCTGGAGCCCTGGCCCCGGGGGAGCAGGTGGAAGCCGGTGTGCATTGGGGCAGGTCTTCAGGTTTGCCACAAGGCTTTGGATGTGATTTGGGAGGGAACTCGGTCAGATTTGCCTTCCCAGCAAGGTCTGAGGCCTGTGCTGCATCAGCAGGAGGCAACCTGGCCAAGGGCCCGCCTAGTCTCTCGGGTCAGCACCAGCTGATGACACCAAAAACCCAAGGATCTTGACTCTGCCTTGCCCACCCCGAGCCTGGGCTTTGGGACCTCCCAGCTGCTCGTGTGCAGGTTGGCCTCCAGGTGGCAGCAGCAGCATGCACACGACTGCTTCAGCCCATGCCGGCAGCTCCGAGGGCTCCACAGAGCCTAGGCCCCAAGGGTGGCTTCCAGATGGACGTGCTGTGTTCACAGCCTCAGCCTCACTCCCTTCCTCCCCACACAGGGTTTGTAAATGCATGGGTTCTCAAGCTTGTAACATGTGTCCTGGCCCCAGAAAACCTTTCCTTTCCCATTCCCAGCCACCTGTGCAACCTTGTGGGCAGGGGTTGGGGCAGGAGTGGGGCTGCGAACAAGGACCGAAGATTTCTTCCCAGGCTCTCAGAACCAGGGACTCCACTGAGCCGGTACTGTGGACGATCGCTGTGTCCTTGAAGGTGGGGGGATACCCCATAAAGTGCCATGAGCCCCTCAAAGGTGGGCAACACTGTGTGTGTGTTCTTGAGAAAAATCAAACATCTGCACCCAGAAGCCCACCCACCCTGTCGCTTCCAGGAAAGGGGGTGGGGCCCTGTCCAGCGGCACTGGCTTTCTCTTGATCTGTCTTCTTCCTGGGCCCACTCACCTGTGTACATTTTGCCCTCCTGACTACTTCTGGAAGCTCAGAGGAGAAGCTGAGAGAGGGGTTTAGGGCCAGCTCCGTTGGTCACAGGCCCTTTGTCCCCCAGGCCAGGCCAGGCTGCTTTAGGGGAAGGGAGGAGGTACTACCTCAAGTCTCCAGGACCTTTCCCCCTGGAATACCCTGCTGCCCACCCTGCCCACTTGCCCGTTCACTCTGAAGTAGAAGCGGTCAGGAGGATTAGCTGTTGTGTCCTGTAGTCTTGTGGCCCGAAGCGAGGCTAAGCCCATTGGAGGTGGGATCAGAGGCCTCCCTGAGGCAAGGCCCCCTGAAAGGGGATCAGCCAGTGGGAGAACCCAAGTGGAAGGTTTCTGGGGGCCACCATCAGACCTGATCCCCTCTCCCCAGGATGTGTCTGATACCGGCCTGTGGCCCACAAGCCCCCTTTGATTCTGGTGACTCTGCAGAACTTTCCAGACACTTCCCCACAGACAGAGTTAATAGCTAACACTACCCAGAGAGCCAGATGAACCAAAAGTGGGGACAGACAAGCTGGGCTGAGGATAGCCTTCAGAGAAGAGAGTTTTAGCAGGAAAAACATTGGCTCAAGCAAAACTTACAGGGAAGCACAAGCTATAAACCCACTGAAAGCCAGCTGAAACAGGAGTGGGGCACCCAGCCAATTCCCTTAGGCCCTTTAGGGACATGCCATCAAGCACCTTGACCAGAGGGCCTGGGCATCCTGGCACCCACACATGATGGGGCTGCTGCTTCTTGTCCTAAAGGCCGGGCCCCTGTGGGCTTTCCTGGGAGAGGCCGTCTTTCTGGGTGGGAACTGGTCCAGAGGCCAGCTTGGGGCCTGAGCTACCCCCTCTCACTCCAGCCCTCTTCCCCAGGCCGACATCCGCTCCCGAGACTACATCCGCAGGACCCAGGAAGTCCAAGGGGCCCCTGAGCCGCAGTCGGGGAGGTGAGTGCTGGGCTGGAGGGGTCATGCCCACGTGGGGCCATTTCTGGTGGCTGGTCCTCTCAGTTGTGGTGCTGCAGCTCAGGCCAGACAGGTAGGGCCAGGCAGCAGACGCAAAGTTTCTGAGGGGACAGGAGAGAATGCTGGGCGCCAGCGTGGACTCCATGTTCAGTGTGAACTCTTCAGAAACCCTCATAGTCCACTGCTCACCTCCCACCCTGGCGGCCCCCTGCTTGCCTTGGTCCATTTGTCTGTGAGGCCCTTGGGTTCCACAGGAGGGAGTCAGATGGTCCCAGCTCACAACCTGGTTCTGCACCAGCTGTCGTTTGCTCTCTCTAGGCCTGTTTCCTCACCTGCGTGGTACACAGTGATTCTCATTCTGCCACGTGTATACAGGGGCTGCTTACTTAATTCTGACAGCACTTCCATAAGACAGGCACTGTGCTCACATTGCAGATGAGGAGACTGAGGCAGTGAGTTGGCAGCCAGCAGCTTCTATGTCAGGCCTGTCCTCTCCCACTCGGAGTCCTTGGCAAGCACAGTGTTTCCACTGTGTTCCCTTCGCCTCCTGGCCTGCACTTGGCTAAGCTGCTTTGAGGACTGGGGGGGACCCCTGAACTCTCCCGGGGTAGGGGTTGGCCATCAGGATCTGCCTTGCCCTCTGACCTGGGTCCTCAAGCCCCTGAGGATCCAGGTTGGCTCAGCTTCCAGAGACCACCTGGGGAGTGAGGGGGGCTCTGGTGTGTGATGCTGTCATTTCTTGATGTCATTACCAGGAGCAAGGAGGCACAAAGGCCAAAAGCGTGCCCCCAAGGAGTCTCAGAAGAGCCTGCAGGTAAGGATGGGCTCCTTGAAGCCCAGAGCTGAAGCCCCAGGACACACCGGAAAGCCCTAGGCCCAGGCGCCCGGGCAGTAGGGCAAGGGCTGGGGGTGGCACTGAGCTAGATGCCAGGGAGACTCCTGGGTTTCCTGCAACCCTGCTCCAACTCATTTTTGGGGGCTGAGGGAATGGCCCACAGAGTAGGTGGGGCACCCATGCCCGAGGACATGGGGACGCAGCAGGTACAGCCATTCTCAGATGAACTGGGGTGGCCACCTTCCCCTTCTGCAGTCATAGAGTCTGGGGGCCCAGAGAAAGCTCACTGGAAGACAAAGCTTACATGGCAGGGCACCAGACCCAGAGAACCCATGACATTAATTTCCCAGGAGCACAGGAAGGGGTTCAAGGTTCATAGGGGGTTTTCTGGTGTTTTTGTGTTCCGTTCTGAAAGTGCCCAGGTAGGCTTATGGCTGCCAGACTATGCATACATCCACATCTTCTCCTGGCCCATCTGCTCCTCTGAGTGCACGTGCTGCTTTCGCTTCATGATCATTTATAAACCAGGACCCAGCTTCCTGCTGACCTGAGCCACTCCTGCTTTGCCCAGGAAGGATCTAAACTGGGGTGGCTGCTGTTGGGCTTGGCCCCTGGCTGCTCTGCCAGTCTCCAGCCTGTCTGCTTCTGGCACATGCAGGGCCAGGAGGAGGGCAGAAGAGCTGCATCTTAGCCTGGAAGAGGCTGAGCTTGGAAGGGACATACAGGGACAGTTTAGGCTGAAGGGGTATGATTCCAGGCACAGGGCTGACACTGGTGCCAGAAGGGGTGGGTGTTGGCGTCTGTTGTCCTGGCCAGGGTCTGTGAGGGTGGGTAGCTCAAGTGTTGCATTCAAGTGCCAATAGCTCTCCCCCATCCCTGCCAACCTGATGCACTCCGCCCTGCCAGCCTCTTCACCCAGAGGCCCAATCTCAAAAGGCATCTCCACCTTGGGAAGCAGCTCTGCCTCATCCCTGACTCTGGCCCCTGCCCGGCCACGCCCCTCAGTGTGAGCTAAATCCCAGGAAGGCACACAGCTCCACCCATAGCCCCCAGTCCTCCACCTGCCAGCTCACCTCCGGGACCCCAGGTTCCCTAAGAACTCTGGGGTCTTTGCCGAGAAATGTGAAGAATCTTTGAAGGCCTTTCTTGCCATTTATGCTGCCTCTCGAGAAGGAGCTGCTTGTCATGGTTTGACAGCCTGGCAGAGAAACCCAGGGAAGCCCAGGTCTTAGCACTCCCTCTGTTCTCTGCTCTGGTGTCTCTCCTTTCATTCATGATGAGAAAGGATCTCTCCTCCAGGCCTGCGCTCCTGGGAGAAGCAAAGGGGACAAATGAGCAAGGCATCCAGCTGTTTGGGGCTTGCAGGGTGCTGTCCCCCTTCTGCTTAACCTCTGTTCTTGAAGCCCTGTATAAGGCATTGTTAGGACATTGCAGTAGGAAACAGGACCATTCCAGGGTGGGGGGCTTTGGGATACAGAGGACCTCCTGGGGTCAAGTGGGCTGCTGGGTGCCACTCACATGCTTATGGGCTCCGACCAAAGGCCTGCTGGGCTCAGCAGCTTCTGGCATGTTCCACAGGCACCTCCAAGGGGACTTCTGCAGGTGGGAAGGCCTGTCCCAGGTTCTGATCTCCAGTCCTCCCCAGATGTCCACACTGGCACGTCTTTCTTCTCACCTCTGCTTCCACTGTCCACCCAGTCCTGGGACTGAAAAAAAATACCTGCTCATCACAGCCAGGGGTGTACAGGGAGCCCCACCTCACCCCACCCTCCCTAGCAGGCTCTGGGCCATCTGCCCACTCACTCCAGGCCCTGGGATGTTGTGGCTTTGGAACCTGCACCTCAGTACCTGTGACTTCTGACTCCTTTGTGCCAGCAGTGCCTCTCCTGCCTCGGGTTTGTGTCCTGCTCAGATCCTTGCAAGGATCCGAGCATTTGTTTGATCCAGTTGGGGAACTGAGTGTGAGGATACACGTGGAGTCCATGCCGGCAGGGGCACAGTCATTTCCTAGTGAATGAAGAATGGGGGTACAGCACCAGCCGGGCTCCACACTGAGGCATTAGTGGTCAGAGGCAGGGACAGCCTGGGATCAACCAGGGATCAAACCCACAGCCCCTGCGTTGGAACACAGAGTCTTAACCACTGAACTGCCAGGGAAGTCACCTTTCATTTTCTTGATTGCGTCCTTTGAGTGAAGGTTTTAAAATTTGATGAAGTTCAGTTTATCTATTTTTCATTTGTTGCTTGTGCTTTGGTGTCATAACAAAGAAACCATTGCCTAATCTGATGTCACAAAAATTTCCTCCAAGAGTTTTGTAGTTTCAACTCTTACATTTAGATCTTTGACCCATTGTGAGATAATGTTTGCATATGGATATTTTGGTCTTTTGTAATTACATATGAATTTTAGAACCAGTTTGTCCATTTCTACTCCCCCAAAAAAGCAGTTAGAATTTTGATAGTGATCGCACTGATCAATTTGGAGAGCACTGCTATCTTAACAATATTACCTCTTCCAGTCACTGAACTCAGGGTCTTTTCACTTATTTATATCTTCTTTAATTATTTTTAACAGTGTTTTGTGATTTTCCTTTACATGTCTTATCCTTCCTTTGGTAAAATTTATTACTAAGTATTTTATTGTTTTTGATGCTACTGTTTTATTTTTGAATTGCCCATTGCAAGTATATAAAAATACAACTATTTTTGTATCTTATATCTGGCAACTTTGCTGTACTCATTTATTAGCACTAGTGTGTGTGTGTGTGTGTGTGTGTGTGTGTGTGTGTGTGTCTGTGTCCCTTAAGGGTTTTATATATAAGATCATGTTTAATGTGAATAGAGAAAGTTTTATTTCTTCCTTTCCCATCTGAGTGCCTTTTATATCTATCTGTTACAGAAGTAGAGAGATGGGTGCCTGATCTTGGGGGAGAAAGCTTTCAATCTTTCACCACAGAGTATGATGTTAGCTGTGGTTTTTTCATAGATACCCTTTATCAGCTTGAGAAAGTTCCTTCTATTCCTAGTTTCTCTGTGTTTTTATCATGAAAGGGTGTTGGATTTATCAAATGTTTTTTGAAATGATCATTTTCCTTCATTCTGTTAATGTGATGTATTATATTGATTGACTTTAATATTTTGAGCTACTCTTGCATTTATGGAATAAACCCCTCTTGATCATAGTGTATAATCCTTTTACTATGCTGCTGAATTTGATTTGCTAGTATTTTGTTAAGGGCTTTTACATGTATATTCATAAGGGATACTGACCTGTAGTTTTCTTTTCTTGTGATGTCTCTGTCTGGCTTTGATATGAGGGTAATGCTGGCTTCATAGAATAGTTAGGAAGTGTTCCCTCTTTTCTGCTTTGGAAGAGTCTGAGAAGGATTGTTGTTGATTCTTGTTAAACCTTTGGTAAAATCACCAGTGAAGCCATCTGGCCCTGTGCTTGTCTTTGTTGGGAGGATTTTGATTACTGATTCAATCTCTTTGTTATAGGTCTATGAAAATCTTTTGTTCTTGAATCACTTGATAGTTTGTGTATTTCTAGGAATTCGTCCATTTCATCCAGATTGTCTAGTGTGTTGGTGGCATACAATTGTTTGCGAAATTTTCTATTTCTATAAAGTTGTTAGTAGTATTTCCACTTTGCTTACTGATTTTAGCAGTTTGGGTCAGTCTGGCAGTGAGTGGTTTTTCTAAGGAGTGCTCTTCCCACCCCCACGATGCCTCTGTAGTGCCCCTGGCTTGAGTGAGGAGTGGGAGGGCAGGGTCCCCTGCAAGATTCAGACAGTCAGGACTCAACCTAGCTCTGCTTTCAAGGGCTTCCATCTCTTCCCACAAGCCCCAAAGACTGTAAATCCCACCCCATCAGAATCTAATTATGGCCCCACCTAAATCCTGGCCTGACCTCAGAGGTTTCAGCTGAAGCAGTTGAAGGATAGCAGAGATTGGGTGGGCTGAGTGGGGGCTTAAGCCAGACATGGAAAGCTTATGGGTGGAGGTGGGGGTGGGAGTGGGGTGGGCATCTGAACTTTAAAAGGACTAGCTTCAGCTACAGCCTGGAGGAGGAGAATCTGTATCAGTGCCCAGACCCATTGGCTCCTTGGTACTGTCTGCTGGCTACACCAAGGCCATATCAGAGATGAGAGGAAGAGAGAGAGCATGTCAGCAGCTTGCTGGGACCCCTGGCTCACGCCAGGGTGGTGGGTGTGGATATGGCCCTGAGCATCTCGGAGGGGTAGGCCAAGCTGGGAGTTCATGTGGAAGGATTGGAAAGATGGGGGTGGCACTGAAGCAACTGAAGGGAGCCAACGTGGAGCCTGAGGGCCTGCTGGCTGGGGTCATTCATGGGAGAGCAGGAAAGCAATGGGAATGGGGTGGGGGCTTGGGGATGGCATGTCCTGTCTGCCTCTCCCCCCACCCCCAGGGGCTCTGCCCTGCAGAAGGCTGCACAAGAGCCTTAAGTGCAGTGGCGTCTGGGCTTCTTCCCACAGAACCTTAAAAATAGGGCAGAGATGATATCCATCTTCACAGACCACAGCCTGCCCCAGAACCAAGAATAAGTCTCGAAACACTCAATAATTCAAATCAGATTCAAATAGATATTCCTGTTAGCCTGGCAGCCTCTGTGCCCCTTTCCCAGGTTCCCAGGGGCTGAGCCTGGAGGCTACCATGAGCTGGTGGACAGGCCTGGCCATTTCAGGTCACATCCAGGGCCCTCATGGCACCTGTCTCCAGGACCCTGGTCTACCCACCCTCCCTACTTTTGGAGCAGTCAAGAACAAAGGACACCCAGGCCTGGGAATTCTTTATCGGGTCAAGGCCAGGCCATAGGGAGGAGGCCCGGCCATGTTCCTAGCTGCCCCAAGGATCCCTCCTCTGTGCCCTTACTTTCTGATCACAAGTATTGACCTGTTTGAGTTTGTGTATGAGCCAGGATCCTTGGCCCCTTTGACCACACCTTCCCCCCACTCCTA